TTGAATTAGTAAAGGAATCAGAAATAACTTTTGCACACCAAGCTTTTTCTTCCCCCCACCCGCCGCCCAATCTTCGCACACCGCCAGTGAAGGGAGGATTTCCTGTCATTTCAGCCGTGCGAAGTCCTGAGCTCCAACACCTCGGGCCTTCGCGTCCTTGAAATGAGTTCACCTAAGAGGTGAAACTGAAGTTTTAAGGAGAGACTTAAAACCATCTTATACACAAATCTTACCTGAAAAGAATATTGACAGGAAAGATATTTCTAGAAAATAAGAAAGCCTTCTAGACCATCATACCTGTCTCAGACATATGCTGGCGATCGGCCATTGATCATGAGAGCTGGAATGGGGAGGGGAGCCTTTAGCTATTTTTTTGCCCAAACAGCAAAACTCCACTGAATGGTTGTTGGAAAAATGAGAACTTGAATTGTTTCAGTCTTGTTGTTTCACAAAAATCAGAATTAAGGCCATCTGAACTGGGATATTTTTTGCTGGTTTCTTCACTAAAACCATGAACTTGAATGGACAATAGAGTAATAGACCCTTTTTTTTTTAATTGAAGTATAGTTAAGTTACTGTATTATGTTACTTTCAGGTGTACAGCGAAGTGATTCAGTTATACTTTTTTTGTCAGATTCTTTGGCACTTATCATACTGAGTGAGGTAAGTCAGAGAAAGACAAATATATGATATCGCTTATATGGGGAATGTAAAAACCACTACAGTTAAATGTATTTACGAAGAAGTAACAGACTCACAGACACAGGGAACAAACAGATGGTTCCCAGAGGGGAAAGGGGGAGGTCGTATACATTAAAAGTGGATCCTTTTATATTTCCAGGCTTCAGACCACTTGAATGAGGCCCGCAGGCACCACAGATGCGCACTTGTCTCCACCAAAACCTACTGCGCCATCCACCATCCACAAAACTCCCCTTGGAACAGGTATTTTTAGTCCCTTCCGTGTGTCCCCTGGGGCAGGGGCTCCTCCAGTGATGAGACAATGGACAATAGAGGAAGAGATCCTGTGTCCAGCCTCCCCAGGACTCTGGGAGTGCGGGTGGGGGTCTTCATTTAGGAAACCCTCCCACCAGATAGAGAGCTTCAATCCCCGACCACCCGGCTTCAGCTGTGTCCAGCCTCGTTCTTCCTCTGTCCAGTTGGCCTCCTTTATTCTGGACTCCTGGCCCCCTCTCCTGTTATGGCGCCTGCCCTCTGAGCTAGAAGCAAACATTGATTTCTTCCCATCTCTTATCTCAGCGGCGTTTCCTGGATGGCGGTTTCCTCTCTCCCATTCATTTGTGATTCTTGGAACAGCTTTCCTGGTAACTCCCTTTCTTGCTCCTGGTCCTCTCTCCTGGCAAATGCCCCCTCCTGTTCTGCACGGGAGACAAGACCCAAGCCTGCACCTGAGCCTCACAGAGAAGCACTTGCTAACTTCACAAGTGGGGCTCCAAGAGATCTAGTCCCACGGCTCGAGAGAACCAGGTTAGGCAGACACGCATTCATTCATTCGTGCAGTATGTGCGGGCTGGACATTTCCTAGGCACTAGGCAAATTTGCCTCTTCAGCTATTATACAAGAAGCTCAGTAGAGGGCACTCCTGCATCACAACAGCGAAGCCTGGGGGCCGTGAACCCGAACCCAGGGATCCAGTTAGAAAAGGCAAGTCATCACACACAGTCTATGCGTGCTTGTGCACACACAGGCCCCTGTTCTCATACTCACCCTGATCCGCACGCAGCCCTGGATGGGATGCTCCCCTTTGCATTTTATGCCATTAACCTTCCGAAAGCAGACAGTAACAATGGAATATACTGCTCTCTTCGCTGAAGCCACTCAAAAGTCACTTGAATTGGTGGCACACCTCATTTCTAAGCCATTAAAGGGTGGGGAGGGGAAAAGAGGATCTCTTAGGATACAATTTCAAAGTCACTGCCAAGTGAGTGCATCCTGCTTACCTGAACTCACTGAGTTCTTTTCTGGGTGCGGAGTCATTTTGATGTGGAAGAGAAGAGAAAGGACATATTGCTGCTGGAAGTGAAATTCATCTCAGGTAAGGCACAAGGTGTGTTATTCTTTGGGAAACGTCTTATTCTAGTTAATGTAAAGGAAGAAAGCAGCATGCCACAGCCAGGGTTTTCCACTCAGCGGAACGCTTGCCCATTGGGAGACCATCAGGACTCCGGTGACTGTGTCCATTATAAACCCGGTTTCTTTGCAGTATCACAGCCAACCTTTAACCGCTTCCTCGGTGCCAGGCACTGTGCCTGACACTTGACGGGTATCACTGCATTCCATCTTCACAACCACCACCTGTGGGAGATACATTTTAGAGATGGGGAGCTTGAGACACGGTAACCTCGGGTGTTGCCACGTGGCTAGAACGCGGTGGGAGATGGACAGCCCCAACCGGTCCGTCTACACAGCTTGGGCTGTTGGCCGTGACACCACGTCCGCGGTGCAAAGTGGGCCTTGCATTTCTGACATCGTGGTAAACATTACTTCCTTTTCATGATTTCAGTGTTTTTCAACTGAAATTCATACTGGAAGGAAAGTTGATTCAGCTAGATGACATTTTTTTACATGTTAGAAGTTAAATTATCAGCTCTAAATTCAACTTCATCACCTGGTGAGTGAAATTAGACTGTAGCGCTATTGCTATTCAGTTATGGGGAGCTGCTGTTTAATGGCCCTGTTCTGGAAGGCTCTATTAATGCCTCTTAATCTGCTTTTTTCTACTGGACAACAGACAGCCCTTCATTACTAACCCCACCACGGGGGTGCAAAGAGTGGGGGCTGCCGTCAAAGCCACGCTGGCAGTAATCAGGACAGCACCAAGAAAGCACGTCAGGTGTTTCACTCAACTATTTCCCTCCTACCTTGCTTAAAATAAAAGCAAGACCTGACCCGGTGGGTGGGGAGGTGGGGAGGGAGGTGGTAGATGCAAGTAAAGGAAAGGAGTCCAACGTTAAGGTATTTACGGGAGTCAGATCAAGAGGGTACCAGTCTGATCTGTCTTTTTGCAGATGCCTGGGTCCCAGGCTACTAGTCCAAGTCCCGTCTCAAGCTGCCACCTGGCCTAGCCCCTGTGTGTCGCACAGAGGAAGGAGGGAGCAGAAACAGCCTATGGGGAGGTGGCTCTCTATGGGACAGGCCTTGAAGAGAGCCAGGAAAATCACTCCAAAAACACAAAAGCCTGTCTTCCCAGGGTTCCCGATAACCAAAATGAAATCATTATAAATGACACCAACATCTGTTATTTTTGCTTACTTGCTACAATAAGCCCTTTTGAGAATGGATGCCTGCGTCTTCTTTGGGCACCACTCTGCCCCAGTTGCAGCCCCTGGGCCCCACCCATCAGCTCGCTCCTTCCTTCTGGACAGTGGTGCCTGAGGCAAAGCCGGGAGGGACAGGCCAGAGGGATGCGTCCTCTAGGCTTTGTCCCAGTTACTGGGAAAGGGGTACACCTTTCTTCCTTCTAGGATCTAAACCAAGGATGCGAGCCCAGGGCTGTCAGTAGGAAAACTGATTGATATAGAGGAAAACAGAAGAGAGATGGAGAGAGACCTGCTTTAAAGACTTCTTCTGAGCTCCTGGATCTAGCCATACCTGAACAGAACCCTAATCGTGAACTTTTCCATTAAGTCAGTGACTATATTTTCGTTTTTATCCAGCTCAATTTGACTTGAATTTCTGTCTTTCATAACTGAATTCAGGTTGCTTACAACTTCCTGCCCCATCAAATTAAAAAAGCGTGTGGGTGGGGTGTGGAGTGGGAGAGGGCAGGCAGGCCCTCATCCCTTGGCATGAAAACCGCTGGGCTTGGAAGAGACGGTCTGCGTGTAGATTCCACCTTGGCAAAGTCACAGCACTTGGGACTTGGTTTCCTCATATGGCGGGTGGCACAGAATGATCTGCAAGGCCACTTCTAGCCCTGGAACTAGTCTGGAGGGTGGATGACGACAAAGGTTGCTGTCACCAGGGGAGTTTCAAAGAAGGGATGGCTTCTCCTACTGTGTGCACGGGATTTTCTTACATGGTTTAGTGCCAACAAAGTCACCTACTTTATCACAGCTTGGGAAAGGAAGGTGGTAAAGGAAAGTATTTCTATGAAATTCTGGGTTTTGTTCATAAATGATTATCATTTTCATTTCCACCCGTATTTCCATCTTTCTGCCTCATAAGCTGGAGCTGGGAAGAAGCCACCGTCCATTCCGCCTTTGCTGCCTTTGCTGAGAGCAGCTCAGCGCCAGGTCTGTGTGAATCCCTAAGGCACCCCCAGTTTCCTCCTCATCCAGAGAGGATGAGCCTTTGTTATGCATTTAAAAACCAGAATAAGACCACTAAACCCTAGTGAGGGGAGATGGAAACCTGGCACCTGGCGTTTCTGTTTGTTACCTGTAGTGCCACGGACCCCAAGCTACATTTTGTTTCAGCCCCCAGTGCGTCTGGGGAGCCAGGTGCAGGAGGAGTGGTGCACCTGTGGGCAGGTGGTTCCCAGTTCTCAAAGTAGGGTGGTAGAGGGTGCCCTGCTGAGATGTTGACACTGGACCTGTGATGTCAGCAGAGCCAGTGGAAATAAGGCACCAGAGAGGCTGTCCGGGGCTAGTGAGCTGTCAGAGTTATCTGGGGCCGACAGGTCTCCTTATGCCCCCATGGCAGACTGGGAGGGACCCACCGCTGGCACCAGGAAGAGAAAGCTAGGCCTCCAGGGAGCCCTGGGCACAGGACTGGGCCCCCAGCGCGGCGGTGGCCCGGTGGAGCCCCCTGGAGATCTGGCAGGGAAGCGAGCCAGGGCATCAGGGAGGGCCAGGGTCCGGGGTACCGCAAAGGGCAGGAGAGTGAAAGCGCGCCGGGCCGGCGCACCTCGGCCAGCGCCCTCCTTTCTCTCTCCTGGGGGGTCGGGGGACCTGACCCATTGCCCTCACTCCCCAGCGGGAAACTCTCACCCCCACCCCGACGCTCCCCAGC